ACTGGCATAAGAACAGACATAGATCAGTGGAATAGAATAGAGAGCCCAGAAATAAATCCATGTGTCTATGGTCAATTAACACTTGACAAAGGGGGCAGAAGCATAAAATGGAGTAAAAATAGCCTCTTCAACAAATGGTGTTGAGAGAGTTGGACAGCTACATGCAAAAAATTGAAGTTTGACCACCAACTTACCCCATGCACAGAAATAAACTCAAGATGGATAAAAGACTTAAATATAAGCCATAACACCATAAAAGTCCTAGAGGAGAACATAGGCAGGAAACTCTCCGATATCTCATGCATAAATATTTTCACCAATATATCTCCTAGAACAAGGGACATAAAGGAAAGAATAAACAAGTGAGACTTCATTATAATAAGAAGCTTCTGCATAGCTCAAGAAAACATCAGCAAAATGAAAAGGGAACCAACCATATGGGAAAATATATTTGCCAATGATACCTCAGACAGGGGTTTGGTCTCCAAAATACATAAAGAACTCACACAACTCCTCTCCAGGAAAGAAAACAATCCAATTAAAAAATGGACAAAGGACCTTAACAGACACTTCCCCAAGGAGGACATACACAGGGCCCAGAGACATATGAAAGGATGCTCATCACTAGCCATCAGAGAAAAGCAAATTGAAAGCACAATGAGATACAACTTCACACCCATCAGAATGGCCTTCAAAAATAAATCAACAAACAACTGGTGCTGGTAAGGTTGTGGAGATAAGGGAGCCCTAGTACACTGTGGGTGGGAGTGCAGACTGGTGCAGCCACAGTGGAAAACAGTTTGGAGTGTCCTCCGAAAGCTATAAAGGAATTGCCTTTTGACCCATTGATTCTACTTCTGGGTTTTACCCTAAGAATCCCAAAACACCAATTGAAAGGAACCTATGCACCCCAATGTTCATAGCAGCTTAATTTACAATAGCCAAGTGATTGAAGCAATCTATGTACCCATCAGTAAATGAATGGATAAAAAAACTATGGGACGTTTACACAGTGGAATACTATGCAGCACAAAGTAAGAAAGGGCTACTACCCTTTGTAAAACACAGCATGGATGGACCTGAGAGCATTATGCTAAGTAAAATAAGCCAGGCGGTGAAAGACAAATACCCTATGATCTCACATATAAGTGGACCTAATTAGCAAAGGAAGCATGCAAGGAAAATATGACCAGCAACACTGAAAGAAGAAATCGACAGGGGTGGGTGGGACATAGGGAGGGATGTAACGGGGAGGGGAATGGGAAAGGTCAGATCAAGGAACAGGTGTGATGAACACAGCAAAGACCCAAGATGGGGAAGGATTAAGGGATGGAACTGTGGTGGGTGCGGCAGGTGAAAATGGTGGCAGGTAAATGGAGATGAATGTATTTGAAAAATTTTAAAAAATAAATAAGTTAAAAATTTTTTATTCAGGATAACAACAACAACAAAAATGTTAATATGGCAACATTGAATTTTGCTGCATTGATTGACTCTTCTTTTTAGGAGCTATTTCTTTGTAGCATGTGCTGCTGTTGGATAGCATTTTACCCACAGTAGAACTTTTTTCAACATTAGAGTAGTCCTCTCACACCCTGCTTCTGCTTCATCAATTAAGTTTATGGAATATTCCAAATCCTTTGTTGCCATTTCAGCAATTTGCACAGCAGCTCTTCATCAGGGATAGATTTCACCTCAAGGAACCACTTTTGTTTCTTATTCTTCAGAAGCAACACCTCATCCATTAAAGTTTTATCATGATTGCATCAATTCAGTCACATCTTTAGGTTCCCTTTCTAATTCTGGTTTTCTTGCTATTTCCACCACATCTGCAGTTACTTCCTCCACTAAACTCTTGAACCCCTCAAAGTCATCCATAAGGGCTGAAATCAACTTTTTCCAAACTCTGTTAATGTAGATACTTTTACCTCTTCCCATGAAACATGAATGTTTTTAATGGCATCTAGAATGGTGAATACTTTCCAGGAGGTTTTCAAATTACTTTGCCCAGATATATCAGAAGAATCACTATCTATTATGGCCTTGTGAAATGTATTTCTTAAATAACAAGACTTGAATGTCAAAATTACTCCTTGATCTGTGAGCTGCAGAATGGATATTGTGTAATGGATGTTGTGAAAACAACACTAATCTTGTACATCTCCACCAAGAGCTCTTGGTGACCATGTGCATTATCAGTAAGCAGTAATATTTTGAAAGAAATTTTTTTTTATTTTGAACAGCTCTCAACAGAGGGCTTATAGTATTCAGTAAACCATGTTACAACAGGTGTACTGTCATTCAGGCTTTATGGTTCCATTTATAGAGCACAGGTAGAGTAGATATAGCATAATTCTTGAAGGCCCTTGGATTTTCAGAATAGTAAGCATTTTTTTTTCAACTTAAAATCACCAGTTGCATGATCCTCTAACAAGAGGGTAAGCCCATCCTTTGAGGATCTGAAGCCAGCACTGACTTCTCTGCTCTAGCTGTGAAAGTTCTAGATGACATCTCCCAGTAGAATGTGTAAGTTTTCTTAATTAGTAACCCTTTCCAATGTTTTTTTTTTTAGTATTCTTTACCCATTTATTGATTAAAGATTTGTAGAACTTTTTTCCCTAAAAACAAACAAACAAACAAGAAACCCTATTAACCATGTTTTAGATGTGTTGCAAATACTTTCCTATTCTAAACCTTGTCCTTTAACTATATATATATATATATATATATAACCATATAGTCTTAAATGTTTAATATAGTCATATTGTCAATATTTACATTATAGTTTCTGTGGCTGAATATTTTACTTCAGGTCATGAAAAATATTAGTTCTATTTTCTTCTAAAACTCCTTAGATTCTACATATTGATTTTTTTAAATTAATTTATTTACTTTTTAAATACATTTGTCTCTGCCTTCCCCCCACCTCTTTCCCTTGCTCCCTCCCACCTTCCCTCCCTCAGCTCTTCCACTTTGTTTTTGTCCATGAGTCCTTGCTATATGTTCCTTGACTTTCCCCTTCCCTTCCCTTTCCCTGCCCGCCCCTTCCCTCTTGTCTCTGTTGATTTCTTTTCCTTTCAGTGTTGCTGGTCATATTTTCCTTGCTTCTTTGCATTGTTGGTTAGGTTCCACTTATAGGTGAGATCATACGGTATTTGTCTTTCGCCCCCTGGCTTATTTCGCTTAGCATGATGCTCTCCAGTTCCATCCATGCTGTCGCAAAGTTTAGTACTTCTTTTTTTCTTTCTGCTGCGTAGTATTCCATTGTGTATATGTACCATAATTTTTTGATCCAGTCATCTACTGATGGGCATTTAGGTTGCTTCCAACACCTCATAAAAATAAGAAGCTTCTGCACGGCTAAAGAAAACATCAGCAAAATGAAAAGGGGGGCAACCGTATGGGAAAATATATTTGCTAATGATACATCAGATAGAGGTTTGATCTCCAAGATATACAAAGAACTCACTCGACTCTACTCCAAGAAGACAAACGATCCAATCAAAAAATGGGCAAAGGACCTGGGCAGATGCTTTTCTAAGGAGGAGATACAGAGGGCCCAGAGGCATTTGAAAGGATGCTCAGCATCACTAGCCATCAGAGAAATGCAGATGAAAACCACCATGAGGTACCACCTCACACCGGTCACAATGGTCATCATAAACAGATCCACAAACAACAGGTGCTGGCGAGGGTGTGGAGAAAAGGGAACCCTAGTCCACTGTTGGTGGGAATGCAGACTGGTGCAGCCACTATGGAAAGCAGTGTGGAATTTCCTCAGAAAGCTGAAAATGGAACTGCCTTTCGATCCAGTGATTCCCCTGCTGGGACTATACCCTGAGAACACCAAAACACCAATACAAAAGAACCTATGCACCCCAATGTTCATAGCAGCACAATTTACAATAGCCTTTCCAATGTTTTGATTAAGCTATAATAGGCCTATTAATTTATATGTTAAACATGCCTGGGTATATATTTTCTATGACTTTATGTAAAATAGCTGTTCAGACACCTCAACTTAAATATCCTATTATCATGTCATATTTACAAGTCCCAAACTGAACTCATATTTTTTTTCCCAAATCTTTTCTGCCTTTTGTGTTCCCTACATTATGTTACCATCGCCTACTCACTTGTTCTCCTAAATCAGAAACCCAAGAGTCACCCTAGATTCTCTCTCATTTACCCCTTCCCTCCACTGTCACTAAACTCCATTGATTTCACTTCCCAACCTTCCCAGACTCTGTTCCTTCCTGGAGTTACTGCAAACACCTCCAAGGAAACCTTTCTGTGACGGATTTAATATTGCTATGTTTTCTCCAAAAATCTATCCTTCGTACTGCTGTCAAGGTGATCTGTCAAATAATTTAAACAAACAAACAATGAGAAGTTCAAAATGGGACTCATGCAACCTCTTCTGTTTCATGCCCGCCCACCCCGTATATGTTTCTTTTCCCTTCACCCCTCTTCCTGCAGCGAATCGCTAGGCGGTCGTGTCGTGCGGTCCCATTACTGTCCCCACAATTGCACAGGGCTAGAATAAACCTGTAAAAGAAGACTGAAAACAAAGTGTTTGATTCGGAAGGAGTTGCGTCGACACAAAGCATGTGCCTCAAGTTGTCACTTCTGAAGGCCCTCCTCCCAGCCCGACTGGACTCCTGGTCTGGGCGCCACTCTGACCTCAAGAACCGCTCACGCGCAGCCGGAGCCACCCGTTAGCCTAGAAGCAGGGCCGCACCTGTGGCCCCGCAGGCTCTTCCTCCTGACGCGTCCGGCGTCCGGAGCCCAGCGAAAGTGTCAGCACCTCGGACAGAGACCCGCCCCTGCGCTTCGCCCTTTGGCCGCCCTTGGCTCCTCCCACAACGCCTACGGCCTCCTTCCGCCCAAATCCGCGCCCCGCCCCCACGCTCTTCCGGTCGCCCTCGGTTCCGCCCACGAGCGCCCCAGACGCTACCAGCCCGTTCCCTAAGCCCCGCCCCTCCAGCCACCGTAGGCCTGCCCCGAGCTCCTCCTAGCCGTGGGGGCCTGCCTCCGCGCCCCTCACAACCGCTGTGGTCTCGCACCCGTTCTCCCTCTAGCGTTCGGCACGACCGTCCTCTGCACTACCCTCGAGCCTCCCTCTCCCAGGTGCCCTCTGCCCTGCCCCTGAGTTCCCCGCGAGCCGCCCTGGGTCCCGCTCCCGACGCCCCGGACTCGAGGCGGCGGAGGCCGTTCCCTGACGGGCCACGGGGTTCTCGGGTGCCGTGTCGGGGCTGAGCACGGTGACACTGCTTACCCGAGTCCTTCCGCATGCTGATCGGTAGGTGTTGGAGACGACGAGACGCGCTTGGGTCGGGCCGGGTATGAAGAGCGGTTCGCCGCCGTCTGCGTGGTAGGACGCTGAAGGCAGGAGGGAAGCGCTTCGGTTGTGGAGGGAAAGGAAGCGGGCCCGTGGAAAGGAGGGGAAAGCCCGGCGACCTGCACGCCGTTCCTGCTTCGTTCCAGCCGAGGGGCGATGAAAACAACCAAACCAAAACAAAACTCCCAGGAGTAGGTACTCCGAGCCCTCGTTATGGGACCGGGGCCTAGGAAGTGGGATAAGGACCACTTTTCTTCGCCCTTGTCTTGGACGAGTTTTGGGCAAATGTGTTTTTAAAAAATATATTATTGTAGTTTTTATTACTAATCGAGTAAGTGTCAAGCCAGTAACTACTTAACTGAAATTATAGTCAACAAAAAAGAAAACCCGATAGGAAGAAAAAGAGCCAAGAACCATGTACGGTCAATTCACAGAAGAAAACGAAATAGTGATTATTAAGTGACATATATGAGTTTCATGCATACGGCTCAGTCATTCAATATTTGTGTCAATAGTTTTATTTAATGGTATTTGAAGCAAAGCTACTCTAAAAGTCTGTACAAGAACAGGTCGCACGTTCCGACAACCACAACAAGCACTACTTTAACTGTTCAACTGTGTTGAATAGAAACACGCTTCACAGAGAAAAATATTTTGTCATTTGTAAAGAGAAGGCGTGAAATGGAAAACGCCGTGAAACACTCGACGTATGACTTTTTGACATTTTAGTTTCAATGTTTTTCTGAACGTGGTAACCTGATGAAAATGTCTTCATCATCTGTCATGGTGGTTTGTCTCTTAATTCCCTCTATGCTGTTTACGTTACTTTTCATCTTGGTTTATTGGTTAGGGCACATCTCCTTGTATTTGGCTGCACTTTTTTGCACTCCAATTTTTTACGTGCCACCTGCGTTGCGTTTATTTACAACCCGCTTCACTGGGACACCTGCTTTGTTAGGGTGGAGTGGAGCCTAACCTTCAGTGTTTCCAAGCTCTGCCTGTAGATGCTCTTAACCTAGAAGCAGCATTTGATTTCGAGGAATTCTAACCTTGCAAAACTACTATTTTGAAGTGGAAAACTGAGATTAAATCTTACTTGGTTATCATGTGGAAAATATACATGAGGTAGATGAAACCTGGTCTTTTTCACTTACCTCATCTTATTTGTTTAATTTACATATGATCTTATTTCTGAATTGCAGCAGAACCATCAGCACTTTTTCAACAAATCTGTAAGGTCAAGCTGGAAATTTTAAGTATAATACCCAGCTTTTAATATATAGTACATTTTTCTTATGTTGGGATTTATAATTGGTATGACAGAATATCATGTCTGCAGAATAAGGAAAGCATAATAATCCCATAATTTATTTTGTATTGTAAGAAAAATTATAAATCAAGGAAACAGAAATTATTAGAACATACCCATTAATTGAGCAAGGCTTCATACATAACTATCCCTCTACTCATAATTGATTTTTCAATCCATACAAAATATCCATGTGGAATAGTGGAGAGTCAGATGTCTTTTACTCGCCAAACACCCAAGTTTACAAATGAGGGCATGAACTTTGTAGTCAGAGTCCTCATTTGTACTAGTTATTAAATATGTGAACTTGAGCATGTATCTTATTTTTCTGAGTCTTCTGTGAACTAATAATGATTTTCCATAACACTTACTGTATGGCTCAACCTTAGAGAAAATATATGTAAAGCGTTTAGCATGTTATAGGACCTAAAAATACAGTTTTAATTTTAAAAGATTAGTGTACAGGGTATGGCAAAAGTCAGTTTACAGTTGTTTGTATGCAAAATAATACAATAATTAATAAATAACAATCCAAGAATAAACGGTGTTTTGCATATTTACAACTGTAAACCTTCTTTTGCCCCACCTGCAAACTTTATGAGATCTACTATTTGTCACATGATGTTGTAGGTAGGATTGTTTTTTTTGCAACTGTTGTTTTTTTTTATCAGTTGATATAAATGCCTACACTTGAGTTGTAAGAAACTTGAGGAGTTGTACATTCAGTGAGTGAAGCAAGCATTATAGTTTAAAATGAAAGTTATTAATATTTTATATACTGACTTTATAGTTCAGTTAAGTCTATTATTTTTAATCTAAACTGAGAACTGGGCTTTGGTTTGTGGAGTCCTGTCTTTCATTGATTACAACCCTATGGATCACTTTTACAGTAATAATTACTTTTCCAGTAGTTACACTGTTCAAGACATGATGCTGTTATACAGTATGCATCCTAAACACATTCCATGTAATGGCAGTGTCTCTATGGCACCATCTTTTATAATTTCCTTAACTGTTGTGGATTTCTATGTCTGGAACCTTTGCTACAGTTTTCCTACTACACGTTGAAAGAGTAGGCAGTAGTAAAAGTTCTTTTATTATTTTTAGTATATTTTCAAAGATTTTATTTATTTTTAGAGAGAGGGAAAGGCAGGGAGAAAGAAGGAGAAAAAAATTAATGTGTGGTTGCCTTTCATGTGCTCCCGACTGGGGACCTGGCCCGCAACCCAGGAGTGTGCCCTGACTAGAAATAGAAGCTGCAACTCTTTGGTTCGCAAGCCAGCACTCAGTCCACTGAACCACACCAGCCAGGGCAGTTCTTTTATTTTTTTATTGTTTATTTGTGTTTCAAAATTATATAATAGTTCTGTAAATCCTCAACTTTTGACAATCCTTTCTTTGGATAGTGTGGATTTGCATGGCCCAGCAACTGGACAAAGACTTTACAACCTACCAGCTCAATTTCCACTGAGCAATGAAAAACAAGAAAGTATGTGTCCAGAGTTCCCTATTGTGTTCTGATTCATATGTTTCATATGGAAAACAGGATGAAAAATGACAACTTACTAGTATTAGGGTACCAACTAAAATGGCTAGGATAAATATTAAATTATGCAATATTAGATTGCTTTTTGGTCCTCGTTTTAAATATTTTCTTCCACATTGAAAATATTCAATACATATTTGAAATATTTTTTGCAACTTATGCTTATAACTTTATTTGCTGTTATGCTAGAGTTGTATTGCCAGCAAATACAGACATTAGCTTTGTTTAGAAGGTTGTTAATAGCTATGTTGAAAAATCAGTTAACAAACATATTACAAAGCTGTATAGGTGATAGGTGTTACTTGGATAACTTGGAGTACTTGGCTTGTTAACTTCTAAAGTTCAGGGAAAAAAAATAACTATTTTGTGCATATTCATCATTGCAAATTTTGAAGGGTTGTTTTTAAGTTTATGATTTTAACATTTGAATTACATCCAAAGGCATTAAAAAAGACACGAAAGCATATTTTTAGAGCTAATGGGCAGTTTTCAACCCAGTATATACTTAGGGAAACAGTCACTTAGACTAATGACCTGCTTATGATCATATGGTTGGTTGCAGTTGTTTCTGGATGAGCCCGTTCAAAGTCAGGGGAGTTTTACTTTTGACTTTGTTTTCATGGCATCAAACTTTGAAAAACTGTATCCCATTTAGGCATAAAAAGATTTTAGTTACATTTAGGAGGTATTTAAATGTATTGATTTTTGCCCTGCCTGGTGTGGCTCAGTGGATTGAGTGCGAGCCCGCAAACTGAAGGGTCTCTGTTTCAATTCCCAGTCAGAGCACATGCCTGGGTTGCAGTCTGGGTCCCAGTTGGGGACATGAGAAAGGCAACCACATATCGATGTTTCTTTCCCTCTCTTTCTCCCTCCCTTCCCCTGTCTCTAAAAATAAATAAAATATTTTAAAAATAAATTTATTGATTTATTTAGTAAAAGTAATTATGTTGCAGTTATTAGGATACAAAGATAAATAAGGTCTAATTTGATTTTTTTTGTTTCTTACCTCATCTCAGTCTGATCAAATAGGCATGAATGTTCAGACATACCTCATTTTATTGTGTTTCACATGTGTTTTTTTACAAATGGAAGGCAAGACCATCCACCAGCAGAAAGATTATGACTTGCTTTACTGCGATACTCTGTTTATCATGGTGGTCTGTAATCTAAACTGCAATATCTTTGAGGTATGACTGTAATAGATTTATTGTGCTACATTTTAGAAAAATTGATAGACAAAATACAGTAGTGACCAATGTAGGAGGAAAGATAAATTATTATTATTTTATTGTCAACTGTTTGTTAGGAATGAGATAGCTATGTGAACTATTTTATTTACTGTTACTATTAAGACAGGATATTTTCATTTTCCAAGGACGTAGGAAGAACTTAACTTTGATCTTGAAGGATGAACAGCAATTTGGAAGAAGAGCAGCAGGGAGAGTGAGGCAACTTCAGACAGAGCACCTGAATGTACAGATATATGATGAAACAAAATAACAATTATATATTCAAAATGTTATTAAACATCCACTGTGGTAGATGCTGGAAATATACCTGAGTAAAAAGGCTGTAATTTCATAGTCAGATCATATGTAATTGCAGCTAGTTCAGTAAGTACTGCAATGGAAGGGGATACAGGGGTGCTTTGTGAGCACACAAGGTTACTTGACCAGAACTTGAATAGTTCTGCCTGGTTCTAGAGTGGAAAGAGAGATTGGGACTAGCTTCATTGTAGAATGCTGGCTTATGGGGCACTTGGGCCCACGAATCCCTGGATTCACCGCGAATGGAAGAAAGAGTCATTCTAGACACCGTTTGCCTGTCAAGGAAAGGGGAAGGTAATTCTCTCTCAAGGAGAATGCCCCGAGCCCCCATGTTCCATAGCTTTTATTGAGAGGGTTACACGCAGGGACACCGAATTGCTTGGGTCCAAGATGAGTAAACATTATGGTGCCAGGTGGGATTTGGGTCAGGGTTCAGGAATTTTGTGAATTTCCTTCCCAGCCTTGAGCTGGTTATCTGGTATAAGATTAACAGAGCTTAAGGGAGAAACAAAGCATGCTTCAAGGAGTATAATTTACTTCCAGGCCTGATTTCCCTGGGGGTCCCTTGGAGCTATTATCAGGTCCTGCCTGTGAACTGCATTACCAGTGTTCTGGCCAAGACTTACGGAGCCTCTCCCAGGCCCCGCCTTGCATGGGACTATAGTCCCCTATACCACTCAAAGCAGTCCCCTACACTGGCTGAAGGCATGGGCATAACCATCATTTTGTAAAGTCATGACCTTGGGCACATTACCTAACTTCTCTAAGCCTTATATAGAATTAGGATAAAAAAGTAAAGCTAACATTTATTGTAGTCTTACCATGTACCTAGCATTGTGCTAATGCTTTATACAGATTATCTGATTTAGTGTTCACATCAAACCTAGGAGGTAGAAGCTCTTGTCTTCCATTGTTCTACTAGGTGGTGGAGCCATGATATAAACCGAGGTAGGATAACCCGAGACCTAAATTCTAACTATTAATAGTGGTTAATTTATAGAGTTTTTCTGAATAATAAATAATGTAATTTAGGCAAATGGTTTTCTAGGCATGAGACAGGGATGTTGGCCCCTGTTTCTATTATTAATAATGCAGGAGGTGATGGGAAATTGAAGTTTAAACAGGTATGTGTGTAAAGAGATCATAGTTTGGAGAGAAACAGGCTGCATTCACCCATTTGTTCAATTTAAGAAAAATCTGTTCCTCACTTTTGCCTAATATGGAAGACAAATAATTGGACATTATAGTTTGGTACATCCTTCTGAATACCCTGATGTACCCATAGTCACTGTGTCCCAGGAACAAAGAGAGAGGGAATATTTAAATAAGACTGGGTGATTAAGGAGAATTGAGAACTACCATGGAACCGAAAGAGTAGTGGTGGGAGTGAAGAAAATAGATTTAAGACATACTTTGGAAGTACAATGGACAGGAATTAGAGACCAATTGTGGTGTAGGATCTTTAACTTAGAATGTCCAATTGAAAGTGTTTCTAACCAAGGGTGGTCTGAAGGAGCTGGTTATGACTTTAAGGAATACAGGAGGAGAAACAGCTTTGGAGTAAAGTCATGGTTTTGATTTTGAATATGTTGAATTTGAGGGGCCTGTGGTAAGATGTAAATGATAATATCTTTGGGCAATTAGAAAAATAAATGAATCTAAAAGAGAGGTGGATATTGGATATTATTTGCCATGCAGGCATAGATAGTTACAATAATGAGAATAGGTGAGATTAGCTGAACCAAAGCCAAATATGGAAGAATTCCTAAATTTAATTGGAGTACAGAGGAGGAATCAGCTGAAGAAATTAGGAGAGGCAATTAAAGAAACAGGAACTAAACCAAAAGAAAGAGGGAAGTTAAGGAAGGAAAATGTTTTAGAAAGGGAATGTTCAGTTGTGGCAGATGCTATAAAGTTGTTGCATATTGTTTTAAATGCTTCTTTTTTTGTTTTCCACCTTAATTTACAAAATAGGTATCTTCAAATAAATTTTGTGGTTATTTGTATGTATGTTAAAGCATCTGATTATCTTGTCCAAAAGATAAAAAATGTGTATTTTCCTCTAAAGTATGGAACCTCAATGTCTTTGCGATAATGGAAAGCAAAAAATTGATTGGTAAATCACTTCGACCAGCAAGACCTGTTCGTCATCTGACTTCTTCCTCTGGTGAGTAATCTAGGATATATATCTTTAAATATTAATTGGTTAATGACTAATTAGCATCTCAAAGGCTAAATAATATATAAACTAATTGTTTATGGTAGATATTAAAGAAATAATTAAAACTAATGATCTCCTAGGAAGAATTTAAAAGTATTACCAAAGAAAAAGGACTCTTACTAGTCTACTAGACCAAGTAAGGTAGAAATAATAGCTCTGACATGAGAGCATCTTTGTGTATTTTTTAATGTCTAATTTTTATGGTTAACTGGCTTTTGTGCAGAATGATACTCTCAATACAAATTGTTCCCTGTGATTATGATCACTGCAGAGCACTCATGCTGCAGAGAGAATTAGCCTTTAAAAAATATACCTAACTGCAAAAAAAAAAAAAAAATAAGTGCAAAACAACGTACAGATTAGGGCTGTGCTTGAGTTGGAACATATAATCCTATTATTCAGGAAATCTAAACAAGTGAAATATTATCAAAACTTAAAACTTTTATTTTGTTATGGAAAACTGATCTTTTTAGATTGTTATCCTATTACAGTCATCTCAGTTTTTCCCCCTTTGCTCTCCTCCACCCAGCCCACTGAAAACTAATCTTTGAAAACAACTCTTGAAATTCTTAGGAATTAATTCCTAAATTGGAATATTAACCATTTTAATATTTTTATTTCTTGTTGTGAAAATGGCTTCTGTATTCTAATTTAGGAAAAAGGTGAAAATAACTTTTTATTGGGTTCAAAGGTGAAGCAGAAAAGATATAAATGGTGCCAATTCCTCAGTCCTCCATTTTTTTCACCATCCTTGGTTCCCATAAGGAAGGCCTCTTTGGTCATGTTTCCTTTGAAGATAGCTGTGACTTGAAACAGACAAATTAAATTAATGGGTCTTCTGAATCATAGCTTAGCAATGCTGATGTCATAGCCTTCTGGTGTGCTGAAGAAACAGTTGTATAGGGTTAAGTCTCAGATTTTATCCTAAAGGGGATATAAAGCCATTGTCAGCAGCTCCTTTCTGTGACCTGCTTTTTTACATCACCCCTCCCCCTCTCATCTCTACAGATTCAGTTTTTCACTGATCCTTTCCTTCCAAGACTGCTGCAGAGGTAAATGGGGGTGGACTGGTAGCCCTGATATCTCATTGAATTATTATATCTTTTGAAGATCCAGACGAGTTAGGATTTTATTAGGCAAAGTTTAGTAAATCAGAAATTAATTTTGGCTTTTCTCAACATACTTCTATACTTCTTGTCTATCTCACATCTCCAAAGAAAACTTTGTCTTTAAAACCCAGACTGAATTATTTGTGACGACTTCCTCGATAACTCAAAGCCCACTCAGCTCTCCCATAGCATTTTCCCTGTACATCCCCTATAACTTATTTTTATAGTCATTATTCATGAGCATGTGCTTTAAAATAGGACACAAATGTTTTATCTGTGATATTCACACTTATGCCTAACACAGTGGCTGACATTTCATAGTGTTGAGTAAGTGAATTATCAGAAAACATTTTAAAACAGTGCTTAGAATATCCTGGGTAATTAAGGTTTTTAGGTGATATTATATCATCTGTTGAAGACATGGATATTTAAAATAGTTTTCTTTTTTCCTTTCCTAACAGGAACAGTATTTCCTTTCAACTTTCAAAATGAACATCCATGCAACACTCAGTACTTACAACGTGGAGTCAGCAGAGTAAGTCTTAGACATTATAACATAAAACGTTACTGACTGGAAAGTAACATTTGTCAGATCGCTGTTGTGCACCAGCTACTATGCTAAGTGCTTAAATACATTTTAAAACTTTATGATATATTTCAAGCATATATTAAAGAGAATAAAACACTTCTTATATCTGTTACCTAGCAATTTCCAATCTAAACATTTTGCTGTATTTGTTTTAGAAAATTTCATTCATTCATTCATTCATTCATTCATTATTGTTTATGCTACTACAGTTGTCCCAATTTCACCCCTTTCACACTTACGCTTTTCCTGCATCTATTGATATGATCATGTGGTTTTCGTCCTTCCTTTTGTTTATATGATGTATTATGTTTATTGATTTGTGAATATTGTCCCAATCTTGCATCCCTGTAATAAATTCCACTTGGTGATGATGTATAATCTTTTTGATGTATTGCTGGATCCAGTTTTTCAAATACTTGTTGAAAATTTTAGCATCTATGTACATCAGAGATATTGGCCTGTACTTTTCTTTCTTTGTTGTTCCTTTATCTGGTTTTGGAATTAGGATAATAATGGCCCTGTAAAAAGAGTTTAGGAGTCTTCCCTCGTCTTGAATTTTTTGGAATAGTTTGAGAAGGATAGGTATTAAGTTCTTTGAATGTTTGGTAAAATTCACCTGTGAAACCATCTGGTTCAGAGCTTTTATGTGCTCGGAGATTTTTGAGTACTGCTTTGGTTTTGCTAGGTGTTAATCAATCTCTTCAGGTTTTCTCTTTCTTCCTGATTCTGTTTTGGAAGATTGAATGTTTCCAGAAATTTTTCCATTTTGCCTAAGTTGTACAGTTTGTTGGGATATAGTTGTTCATAGTAATTTCTCACAATCCTTTGTATTTCTGTGGCATCAGTTGTTACTTCTCCTCTTTCATTTCTGATTTTATCTTTTCGGGTACTCTTTCTTTTTTTCTTGATGAGTCTGGTTAAAGATTTGTCAATTTTGTTTATCTTTTCAGGGGACCAGCTCATTGATCCATTGATCCTTTGAGAATTTTTATTCTAAATGGATGCTGGTTTTTATCAAATGCCTTTCTGCATCTAGTGATATTATCGTGTGGTTTTTATTTTTCATTTTTTTGTATTGTATCAAGTTTATTGATTTGCAGATATTGTACCAACCTTACATCCCCAGAATAAATGTTGCTTCTTTTAAAAATATATTCATGACATTGCTTACTCTTTATCCCCAAAATATGCCTTAACTAATAATTTGATTCTTTAGGAGAATATTTTTGATTGGTAAAAAAGAAGTGTTATGTAAACATTTTATCTTAATTAAAAAAATGTGTTTTCTTTTTTCTCAACAATGTAAGATGAATGGAATGCAAGCCTTTTCTCAGTGCCTGAATGACCAACAGCAACATCAGTCTCCAGTTAAGAAGGGTAAATTTTTTTATTGTAATTCCCAGATTTCATTAGAGAATGTTAGCATTTATGTGGAGTTAATATTTACTTAGTTGCAAACCTGATGTACATAAGAAATTTTATTGTATTACTTTGGTTGATTTCTGTTCATTTTAGTATTACTGTAGGTTTGACTGCTCCAAAGTTGAGACCAAACCCTTGATCAACATGGGTTTGAATTGTGCAGGTCCACTTATATATCAGTTATTTTCAGTAAATACTATAAATACAATTTTCTGCCCTATGATTTCCTTAATAACATTTTCTTTTCTCTAGCTTACATTTTTGTAAGAATATGGTATGTGATACATATAACATACAAAATATGTGTTAATTGACTGTTTGTGTTATTGGCAAGGCTTCTGGTCAATAGTAGGCTAATATTTAAGTTTTGGGGGAATCAAAAATTATACATGGATTTTTGCCTGAGTGGGGAGTTGGCAGCCTTCATCCCCACTGTATTTGTTGTTGAAAAGTCATTTGTGCTGTCTTATTTGCTTTGCTCTCTTTAACACATGGTTTCTTTCTCATTGCCCAAGATGAATGTCTCTGCTTTAGCCATCATGTCCCCTCTCTAGCCATCAGGAAGGAAGGGAGAGGAAAGGAAGTGTTCCTTAAAAGTATGATACAGAAGTTACATATGACACTTTCATTTAATTCCTCATTGGCCAGAACTTAGTCTTGCTGCACAAAGCAGAGTTGTACAGCCAGCTAATTCTCTTACTGAAGCCAAAGGGAATTCTGATGGAAAATAAGTAGTCTCTCCCACACCAGTTACTTTTAATAAAATAAAAAATAAATAATGTAGAGCCCAGATTTTTGTCAAACAATTTATATATGTAGCTTAAAAATTAAAAGTTATGAAAATACCGTATTAGCTTTTCTTTTTGTTAACTTCATATTTCTAAATACTGTTTAAATTATTTCCAGATTTCTGATATTTTGATATTATATATTTTGGAAAATGAGAACTTACATCTTCCCTATCAGTCCCTTCTCCTCACCCTTGGTATCTCCTTCCCCTACATAGCTATTTCAGAGGTTTCAGTTGAAGCATTATCCCTCTTCATATTATATAACTATGTAAATATAATTGCTTAGTTAAGAGATGCATATCTCTTTTCCAGACAGTTCATCATTTTTCCTGGAGCTAATATTTGCCTAGGTTTTCTGTGTAACTATTAGTTGTTTCCCTTAAATGCTCCAATAATTCTGTCACTCTATAATATTTTTGTTATGCTCAGCTCTGTCTAGATACTCAGAATCCTAGAGGAGACTTTCCTTTGGTAACCCTCCATTGTCCGGTTCCAGGGCAGACCAAGTTGCTTTTCAGTCGTGCTAGAATGAAATTTTACTATTATCTTGGGACATCTTTTGACAATTGTTTGTTTTCTTTTCTCTTGAAGTAAAATTCACCATTTAGAACATTTTCATCACCCCAAATGAAACTTCATACCTAGTAAGTAGTTACTTCCTGTTCTCCTTTCCATTCAGCCACTCACAAACACTAATCTGTTTTTGTTTTGATGGATTTACTTATTCTGAATATCTCATTTAATGGAATTATACAATAATCCAGACATACCTTTTATATCTGTCTTCTTTTGCTTATAAGGTTCTTGAGATTCATCCATGTATAGCATGTGTCAGTACTTCCTTTTTATTGCTGAATAGTATTCTGCTATATTGATATAATGAATTTTGTTACCTAGTTCTCAGTTGATAGACTTTTGGGTCAGCTTTACTTTTTGGCTATTATAAATAATGTTGCTATGAATACTTGTATACAAGTTTTTGTTTGAACACCTGTTTTCATTTTTTCTTGGATATATACTTAGTGGTAGATTTGTTGAGTAACATGGTGATTACAAATTTAACTTTCTGAGGAACTGCCAAACTGTTTTACATAGTGGCAATACCTAATTCTACATTCCCACTAGCAATGTATTAGGCTTCCAGTTTCCTTACATCTTTGTTAGGATTTTTATTTATTGTAGCATCTTAGTGGGTGTGAAGTAGTATATCATTGTAATACTGATTTGCATTTCTCTAATGACTAATGATTTTGAGCATCTTTTCATGTGCTTTTGGCCATTTGCATTTCTTCTTTGGATAAGTTTCTATTCAAGTCATTTGATTATATTTTAACTGGGTTGTTTTCCTCTTTTTGTTGAGTTGTAAGAGCTCTTGATACTAGACCATTTTCTTTCTTTCCCTCGTTCCCACTTCCCTTCTCCCTTTTCTCTCTCCTTCTCTCTCTCTCTCTCTCATGCTTTTTGTGTCATATGTAAGACATCATCGCTAAAATTTAGGTCATGAAGATTCATCCCTACATGTTTGCTTGTATCTGTTCAGTTTTCCCAATACCAATAATTAAAAAGACTGTCATTCCCCCATTGTATATTCTTGCTTTCCTTTTTGTAAATTAATTTACCAAAATAAGCATGGGCTTATATCTGGGCAATCTATTCTGTTCCATACAGATCTATGTATCTGTATCTGTTTTTATGCCAGTACCATGCAGTTTTGATTACTAGCCTTGAAGTATATTTTGCTCTCAGGTAACATAATACCTCTACCTTTGTTCTTTCTCAAGATTGTTTTGGCTATTTGGAGTCTCCTTTGGTTTTATGTAAATTTTAGGATTATTTGTTCTAGTTCTGTGAAAAATGCCATTGGTATTGTGATAAGAATTGCATTGAATCTGCACATTGCTTTGGGTAGTGTGGACATTTTGAGTGTTAATGCTTCCTATCCATGAGCACAGTATATTTTTATCTTTATAGTTTTTGAGTACAGGTCCTTCATTTTCTTGGTTAAATTTATTACAAGGTATTTTTTTTCTTTTTGATGCAATTGTAAATGGGATTGTTTTTTTAATTTCTTTTTCTCATAGTTTATTTTTGCTGTATACAAATGCAACAGATTGTGAGTATTAATTTTTATCCTGATACTTCAGTGAATTCATTTATTAGGTCTAATAGGTTTTTGGTGGTTTCTTCAGGGTTCTTTGTACGTAGTACTGTGCAATCTGCAAATAATGACAGTTTTACTTCTTCCTTTTTAATTTGGATGCCTTTTATTTCTTTTTCTTGTCTTACTGTTGTGGCTGAGACTTCCAATACTATCTTGAATAAAAATGGTAAAAGTGGGCATCCTTTTCTTGTTCCTGATTTAAAAAAGAAAGCTTGTAGTTTTTCATCATTAAGTATAATTTTAGCTGTGGGTTTGTCATATATGGCTTTTATTATGTTGAGGTAAGTTCCTTCTTCCCCTACTTTGCTGAGTTTTTATCATACATATATGTTGTCAAATGCTTTTTCTGCAGCTTTTGATAATCATGTGATTTTATCTTTCATTTTGTTTATGTGCTGTATCATGTTAATTGATTTGTGGATATTGAACCAAACTTTCATCCCAGGAATACATCCCACTTGTATGATCTCTTTAATGTATTGTTGAATTTTGCTTGTTACTATTTGGTTGTGCATTTTTGCATCTATGTTTACTAATATTAGCTGATAGTTTTCTTTTTCTCTAGTATCATTGTCTGGTTTGGGTATCTGAGTAAGGCTGGACTGTAAAATGACTTTGGGAGCTTTCCCTCCTTTTCAGTTTTTTTTAAATAGTTTGAGAAGAATAGGTATTCATTTTTTAAATGTTTCTTAAAAATCACCTGTGATTTCATGTAGTCCAGTACTTTTCGTTTTACGTTTTTGATTATTGATTCAATTTAATTAATAGTTATCAGGCTGTTCGTGTTTTCTGTTTCTTCCTGATTCAGTCTTGGAAGACTATATGTTTTTAGGAATTTATCCATTTCTTCCATGTTGCCCAATTTGTTGGCATATAAATGTTCATTATATATTCTGTATATTTGTGGTGTCAGTTGTCACTTTTCTTTCATTTCTCAATGTATTTACTTGATCCATCTCCTTTTTCCTTGATGAGACTGGTTAAAAATTATCAATTTCTTTTGGTATCGTTTCAAAGAAATAGCTCTTGATTACATCGATCTTTTGTAATTGTTTTAAAAGACTTTTATTGTGATCTTTACTATTTCCTTACTTCTATTCACATTGGGCTCTGTTTTTTTTCTTAATTTCTCTAGTTCCTTTAGATATAAAGTATGAGTCTTTGAGATTTTTTTGAGGAAGTGCTATATTGCTCTGAATTTCACTCTTAGAACTGCTTTGTCTCTGTCCCATAGCTTTTGAGTCATTTTATTTTCATTTTCATTTGTCTAAAGGTTTCTTAATTTATTCCTTGATCTCATTCTTAAATTATTTGTTGTTTAGTAGCATATTATTTAGCCTCCATCTGTTTGTATGCTTTTCATCTTTTTTCTTGATTTGATTTTCTAGTTTCATACCATACCATTGGAGAGGATGCTCAATATTGTATCAATCTTCTTAAATTTACTGTGAATTACTTAGTAGCATAACATATAGTTGGTCCTGGAAAATGTTTTATGTACACTTGAAGAAAATGTATATTCTGCTTATTTTGAGTTAAATGTTTAAAAAATATCAACTAAATCCACCTGGTCTAATGTGTCATTTAAGGCCACTGTTTCCTTGTTGATTTTCTGTCTGGATCACCTATGCATTGATGTCAATGGAGTGTTAAAAGTTCCTACTTACTGTATTACTGTTGGTCTCTCCCTTTATTTCTGTCAATATTTGCTTTATATATTTAGGTGCTCTTACATTGGGAGTGTAGATTTTTACAACGGATAAGCCTCTTGTTAGATTGATCCATTTATTACAAAATGCCCTTCTTTATCTCTTGTTACAGTCCTTGTTTTAAAGTCTATTTTGTCTGATACAAGTATTGCTACCCCAGCTTCATGAAATCATTTCCCTTCCCAATATCTTTTCTGATCTCTTTACTTTCAGTCTGAGTGTCTTTCAATCTGAAGTGGGTCTCTTGTAGGCAGCATATATCTCTTACAGATTTTTGGTTTGTGCTTACCATCT